TTCAGCTTAAATAGCAGAAGTATTTAAAATGAGATTTGTCGTAGAGATTAGTTGTTTGAAGTAGTTAGTCGGAAAATAGATCCTCTTTTTTGCTTTGCAAAATATGGTAAACCCACTGTTGAGAATCCAGTCCAAAGATAGCTAAACATGTAATGAACAGACTGGCTTGCAAGACGCTAAATATATTCAAACATTATATCAATTATATTTTTGATCTCAAAGTATACCTATAAATAACATTATTGTGATAATAAATACAGTTGATGAAAATACATGAAGTTGTTGTGTTCTTAAGATACATGAAGTTATTGTTGAGGTTATTTTGATTGTTGATGAGAACCTCCGGATTGAGTTCCGTTTCGTCTCTTCGTCCGAACAAACCTTCAATAAGGGTTTCAAACAGTACTAATGTTGTCTCATTCTAATCTTTCTAGCCGCGGTTTCTGCATATCATACGAACATCTTCCAGTAGTATTAAACAATAATTCATTCTCCATATACACGTTGCATCGGGCGATAGCATGGTCTTCTCAGGAGAAGAGGACTCCTGTGTAGCCAGCCCTAACAGAAGCTGACCAGCAAGAAAAGGAGCTACAGGCTTGTCAGCGGGTGCAGAGCCACCGACACTCTCCAGCCCTGATTCAGCAGGTGAACCTCAGTTGGCCATTCCCAGCCCATCAGAATCACCTACACCCTTAGAGTGCCGCAAACAAAGGCTGAGAACAGAGCTACAGACAAGACAGCAAAATGCACATCTCCTGGCCCGATGCCAGCTGCTTGCTGATAACGAAGATGAGTAGTTGCAGGATTGCTTCTGAGTAACTGGTTGCAGCCATGACCAATGTTCCCTCTAAGCTGTGGAGTCCTGCGAGCAAGAATTCTACTTTGTGAGGTTCTGGCATTAAAGTTGTGAGCGAGCGATTTGGCCCCTGCATAACTGGCCATGACCCTTAGGTGTGGGGCTATAAAACCAGCCAAGAGAGGCTGTTAGGTGTGGACACAATTAGGGCTCCCAAATCTCGCCAAATCGCGGTGGGGGATCGCATGTCTTTGCAGAATCCCTGCCACGGGGACGGCGAGACACGTTGCACTGCCATCGCCAGGACATGACGCTACACATCGCTCTGGCAACGGGGTTGTTTGGAATTACTTCTTCCTTTTCTGAATCTATCTTGAACATCTGGCATTTCACGTTCTACATACAGTAACAGCTCTTAGCCTCTTAAAACTGCCTCCCTCTCTTTCTCTGCCATCCTTGGTTTGAAAGCACTGTAATTTCCAGAAAACCACTGGAAAAGAGTAGCAGGGAAAAAGAGACTGCAAAGTTGGTAGTTCTGCTGCATTTGTTTTAACTTTCAAGTACATAATGTTTTCCCTCAGATAAATACAAAGAAAAATCTAATTTGTCTCAACTATGGGTTAGTCAGAAATGTTTTAGAGCTGTTTCAATTGACAAAGAACAGAATCACTGATTTTTTTAGTCAGAAAATTTGACAAGTTCAAAATATGACCATAAATTACTCAGAGTGCTCAAAATTCCAGGAAATGTTATCAAAGAAAAGCCACCAATACACTGTGTCATATCCTGGATTCTATTATCAATGACCTTCATTTCAGTAAAAGTGAAAATAAGATCAAATTCATATTTCTGTTTCCATCAGCTGTGATTAAAATGCTTCTGGAAGCTCAAATCAGGGCAAAGTGTAACAGTAATCCCCTAATATTATGCCTCTAGCACCTGGTACATAGAGATAAACTGTATTTGAATATGGGGTTCTATTTAGCCACTATGGCTGACAGCCTTTAGCTAACCTATCCTCCATGGATTTATTTCTTCCTTTTTAAAAGCTAGTTAGTTCCATGGATTCATGCTCTTTACAAGGTACTTTTATTAGACTTGACTGTATTTTTAATCAACTTCAGTGAACATGCTAATTATATGAGTAGGAAAAAATTGTTTGTATCATTCCAAGCTGCACAGCTATTCCTAATTTTGTAAACCTCTGTCATGTCATCAAATTGTAAAACAAAGGCCCCGGTCACACGGGCCGGAAAATGTGGGGGGGAAGCGTGGCTGTTTGCCCTGGAGCAAACTAACGTGCGGCCGCCGGATCACACGTCCTGCTGACGTCCCGTGGTTTGGGGGGAGGTGCCGATCACACAGCAATCCTGTGGCGCAGCAAAGAAGCGGCGTGCCGCGATCACAGCAGCAATGGCTAGGCACCGCTGCCGTGGCAAACGGGGTTGTGGGTTTTTTAAAACCGAAGTGTGCGCATGCGCCGTTGGGTGCTTGTGTACATCCCGTGGAGACTTGGGGGGGGGAACTTTGTGCGACGGGACATGGGCGGGCGCCGGATGCCACGAACTACCACCAGAAACGCGATCAGACGCCCGCCCTTGCCCCGCGGTTTCCGGAAACTAGTACCTTGGAGGTACTAGTTTTTTACGCCGCATCTTTGGCGGGAAGCCTCGGGTTAGCCACCGGAGCTCCACGCTTCCCAGATGTTGTGGTGTGATCGCGCCCGGAAAATCCGCCTATCTTCCGTCTCTGTAGCGTGGCTAATGCTCCGCGTGACCGCAGCCATAGAATATTATGTTATGCCATTTATAGTTGCTGTTCTTCACTGCTTAGAGGGAACAAAACAGAACTGAACTAAAATTGTGTTTCCTACTCCTGCTAATTGATGGGGACTGCAATTCATCATCCATACATTTTATGAATTTTGACTGACAGAGTTCTGGAAGACATAGCAATAGTGCACGTAAACTGTATGGTTAATTTTTTCTCTCAAGTTACAAAGTTCTCCCCCCCCCCCGGCAACAGACATCCAGAGGTGGTTTGCCATTGCCTGCTTCTATGCCATGACCCTGGTATTCTTTGATGGTCTCCTTTCCAAATACTGACCAGGGTCAACCATGCTTAGCTTTCGAAATCATGCTAGCCTGAGCTCTCTAGGTCACGGCTACAAAGTTCTTAGCAACTGCAGAACATTAGAGACACACTTACTTTTTTCTGTTCTTGCAATATACAAACAATATCCATGATCGTCTTGCCTTTCTGTACTAACAGAAATGCTTAGCAAAGGTAATAAGCTTTCCAAATTCAAGATCATGAAAAATAAAAACTTACAATAGACACTTCCAAACTCTGGAAAATAAGAAGGGCTCCTACCAAAGTTGGCATGTACTTTACAGCCTTGGGGCAGAATTATCTGCACTCCACAGTTATGATGAAAAAATGTTCCTTAATCAGATATGGAAATAAACATGAGAAAGAAACGTTCAAGCTACCCCATGTTTCCAATTTGCTACAAGAACATTTAATTGACATTAAACTTAGCAGCATTACAAGAGCTATGGATCTAGATTAATTAATCCATATTTGGGAGAAAATGAAGAAACAAGTAGATTGCTGCATAGACTAGGCCCATAAACAGCCATCTGTGGTCACTTGAAGCAAGGGAAAGGCTGAGACAGGCAAGTTTTTAACAAGAAAGCTGAAAGTAGTTTCAGTTCTTCTAGTGCATACATGTTTCTTGTTCTAGCATCATCTCTGGTCAAAGAGGTTTCTAAAGCTATGCAAAAACACTGCAACATCTGTTTGCTCAAGGAGAAAGTATGGCAAGTGTACACATTACAACCAGCCATCACCTTTCCAAACTGCCTTTAATTTTTTAAAAAATAATCTATTGTCTGACTTCAGCTAAATGTCAGTGTACTGTTTCCCTTCCCCTTACAACTGCCTATCCAAATACTTATCCAAATAACATTAATGTGCTTGAATTGCATGTATTCTGTAATGAGTATGAGATTAAGCCTTCTAATTTTTTAAGCTTTAAATTTTAAAAGTAAACTTTATGATCATTTCACTCACATACTTTGAACAGGCTATTACACACTGAACAAACAAAGCCTTCAGCAGTGTATTATAGTGGGAAAACTATGACTATGATCTTTAATATTAGAAGTGCACCTGTCTTTATTTTCCTTTGTAAAAGGTAGGAAGGTATTCTATATTTTTGTGAAACCTGGTGTAGCAAAGTAGTTAAAAGGCTGCTTTGTAAGGTTGCCAATTCCAAGTTAGGAAATTCCTGTAGATATGGGGGCAGGGGTTGGGAAGGGGAGAGTTTAACAAAGTAATGCCATAGATTTCACCCTCCATGGAAACTGATCTCCGTCTTCTGGAGAACTGTTGTAATTCCAAATCTCCTAATGCCATAGATTTCACCCTCCAAAACAGTCGTTCCTCCATGGAAACTGATCTCCGTCTTCCGGAGAACTGTTGTAATTCCAGATCTCCTATCCCCACCTGAAGGTTGGCAACACTTCTGCCTGGGGAAATATTCAAACCTCAGCTCTGGCATGAATTCATAGCGCACTCCATCCCATGTAGTTACTCTTTTCTGATCTTACTGACTGGAGTAACTCTGTATAGGATTTCCCTGTATATAGTCTTAAACAAGCCACCATAAATCAAACTCAGCCTACAAGGCCAGTGTGGTGTAGCGGTTAGAGTTTAAGACACGGAACTGGGAAACCCAGGTTCAAATTCCAGCTCGTGACATGGAAGCTTGCTGGGCGACTTTGGGCCAGTCACACACAGGCTCAGACTAAACTACCTCACAGAGTTGTTTTGAGGATAAAATGGAGGAAAGGAGAACGATGTAAGTGTTTTGGGTTCTCATTCGGGAGAAAGGCGGGATATAAATAAGATAAATAAATGAATAATAATAAGTGAATATATTTTTTAAAAGCATTGAATATAATGCATTGAATATACTACAAAGCATTGAATATACTACACAGAACAATGGAAGGAAGAAGAACGAAATAAGATACAACTGTGGCTAGTAAAAATAAATGTGGGAAACAATCTTATCCAGTAATTTCCAGGGCTAGCGACGACGACGGCGTCAATGACACTCCATCACTTCTTTCCCGCCTCAGGAGGAGAGGGCGTGAGCGGCAAAGGACAACGAATTCGACCCGGAAGCGGAAGTGGCTGAGGGCTATGATGGCGGCTCATCAGTCGCTCCTCTCTGGTTGGAGACGGCTGGTGACTGGGTTCTTGTGGGGCGGTTGGGCTAAGGCTCCATCCCGCGGGCTTCGGCAGGGTGAGTGTTAAGGATGATTTTTCTCTTCTCCCCGCAGTCCATAAATACATAGCCAGCGGAGGAGGACGGAAGGGGCAGTTGAGAGAAGGAATGGGAGAGCCTTGGTCTTTTCTACTTGTTCTTGAGCCTTGCGAGCCGCTTAATCTTTGGCCGCTCTCGAGACGGAGGAGAGAAGCAGTTCTCCTTTTTTTGCTTTTTCTTAGCGCGTTTCCCGGGGGGGGGGGTACAGCAAGGGGCTTCTTTTTGGCGAGGGAGGGAGAAGGGAATACGAGCGCGGGGTTCGTCTGTTACAGCAAAGCCTCGTGGCATCTTAATTTATTGTGACGTTATTTTTGTATTTTATTTATTTGCGGATTAAGGCCCAATTCACCAGTGGCAAGTAGTCACTGAAGGATCTGAGGAGGTGCTGTTTGACCACTTTTTTTCAGGCAGCCCTCCTTTGTGTAAGACAATATATTGTTTATTAAATCTTAATCATGAAATTATTAGCTGATTATCAGACGAAGGTAGCAATCCTAAATAGACTTACTAGGGAGTGAACCTCAGTGAACCTGGGGTTTGCTTCCAGGTAATCATGTTTGGGATTGCATGTACTTGTGTAGCCTAATAGTTTGTTAGCAGCAAGTGTTAACTAGAAAGTCTGGCAGTTTGGTAGCAGCAACCCCAGGCATGTAGGTTACCCCTTACATTTAATGTAATTTATCTGCTGGTGGGGAGAACCTCCACTACCCATAAGCAATGCTTGCTTGTGTGTACAAATTGAAAGAAGGGACTGAAAAGGAAGGTCTGCTGCCACAGAGTTAATTATTGTGTGGAGAAGGGAGTGCATGACCAAACTCTCCTTTGTCTCTAGTTTAGGCAACAGTGAAATAGCAGGGAATGAAAACATCCTTAAGCAGCAGCATGAGGGGAGAAATGTACTGGAGACTTTAGTTATGAAATTTATATTCTGCCCCCACAAGGGCCACGAAGGCCGCTAACAAATAAAATCACATTTTAAAACCAACCCTTCAACACACAAAAGCACACATCTTTAAAACAATTACAGACATAAATACATACAGCGACATAAAAACAATAATGAGAACATTGGGCAGTAAGGAATGCCAAACAAAACAAAAAAAGTCTTCACCCAGTGGCAGAAGATGGCAACAGAAGGGGACAGATGACTGAGGAGAGAGTTACAGAGTTTTTGTGCCACAACCATTCTGGAAACTGCTACCATGTTCATATACCTGAATGTTTGTATATTGACATAAAGACAAGTGCAAAGTGACTGGTCTGAAGCCCCTGTGAACAAAAAAAGGGAAACAAACTTAACCCTGAAACCTAGAATCAAGAACCTAAAAAGGTAAATCAAACAGATTAGAGGGCCAACAATTAAAACTTAATACATAGAATATATAAAAATACATGTTTGTATTTGTTTGTAAAGAATTAAAAACCATATGGGGCCCAGTTACACAAGTTCCCGTGGACCTGACCAGATGCGTTTCGGCCTGTTTAGGCCTTCTTCAGAGGTCAAACACAATGAGGAACAAATTGGCTTACCATAATACATAATACAATTACACAGCATGAATACAAAATGGACTAGAAAAGAATAAAAGTATAAATGAGGACTTCCAAGATCCAATCACATGCCAGATGGTATTTCATTGATAATAATTTCTGGTCCAGAAAGTGCCTTTCAGTTGTTTAGTTCAAGCCAAAGTGTTCTCAGCAAAATTGTCTCTTTAGCAAAGAGCAGTGCTGTTAGTGTCTAGGGTCTAGTGGTTTCACTTTGGAACAATTCTTTTCTGGTCCATTTTGTACCTATACTGTATAATTGTATTGTATTATGGTATAAGCCAATTTGTTCCTCACTGTGTTTGACCTCTGAAGAAGGCTTAAACAGGCTGAAATACATCAGGTCAAGTCCATTGGACTTTGTGTGCATGATTTTGGAATTTTTATATGAGGTGTAATTGGACCCCTATATGCTTTTAATTCTTTACAAATAAATACAAACATTTCTTTCTACTTTTGTTAATTGTGAGTAAATACCATTAAATTTCTACCTTATTGGGTTGTAGCAAACATGCTATATCTTTTGTATTATTGTCCTTTAATTATTACTGCCTAAGCATAATTATTGTACCAGCTATAAAATCGTGTCCATGTGTTCTGGGATGTAGAGTCCGAAATTCCTTTAATCAATAAAGTCAATTTGTCAATTTCTGCTGCTTCCAAGACTTTATTTATATACTCTTGTTTTGTAGAGATATCTTCCAATATTTAGCATATAAGATTCTGGCTGCAGTAGTTAGGTATACAATAAGATAGCGATCATCTTTACTAAAGTCTTTTGGGAATATATGTAATAATAATGCCTCCAGTGTAAATGGTATAGCCATACCTAACACCCTTTGCATCACTTCATGGATCCATACCCAGTATTTTTTACTTATTTCACAATGCCACCACATATGATAGAACGAACCTACCTTCTTTTCACATTTCCAACACTTATTAGAACATTTGCTATCATATTTCGCTAACCTTTCTGGTGTAATATACCATCTATTTTCTTTGGCTTACAAGACACCTTTTCAGTCTTCATGGTTTTATAATGACCATATTTTCTAGCTATAGCTATTGTGAAACCTAATCCTATACTCTTCAGAGTTTCTTGTCAAAGCTGTAAGAAAAGTGACTGGGAGGGCGGGGTAGAAATAGAATGAATGAATAAATAAATAAATAAATATAAATAAATATGGGGTAATTCTCATCTGCGGTCACACACACACTAAATAATCCACTTTCAGTCCACTGTCAATGTACTTTCCAACTGGATTTTGCTAGCTCACACAGTAAAGTCTAGTTGGAAAGTGCAGTGAAAGTGGATTATTTAGCGTGTGTGACCACAGCCCTGTTTGGCATCACAACAGAAAGCTAACCTCTATGCCTCACCCAAATAAGCTTTGTGCTTCTCCTACGTATCACCAAGAGGCACTTAGAATAAATATCTGCTTAAAAATATCAGGCACCACGGCACCTGGGATTTGTCAAGCTCTGTATTTTTCAGAGATATACTGTCTGTCATTAGTATACTTAACAGCTGTATTGCAGACAGGTAACAATGTATTGCTTATGTCTTCATATTTGAGAAAAGCTAGAATCCCTGCCTATCATGGAACTATCCAAAGTTCAGAACCCTTCCAGGGGAAAGTGGCAACCTAGTACGGGGCTCCTTTCAGCTGATACGACAAAGGATGTTTTTCTGAGAATTAATCTTCTAATGAATTTCTAGGGAAACACAAGGAACAGTGTATTTTTCACAGCTCACAGTTTGATGCCTACTTTCCTCCATGGATCTCAGGATAGTAACATATTTCTCCTCTATTGTATCATCACAATAATGTTATGAGTTAGATTAGGCAGAAGAGCATAACTAGTCCAAGGTCACTGAGCTCCATGGCTTTGAATCCATGTCTGCCTAGTCCTACTGTAACAATTGCAGTGGCTCTCCATTTTTTTTTAAGGCAGGCACAACAAAAACAGTGATCTGGACTCTACATTGCTTGCCTCTAAAATGGTGAAGTATGCATTCGAATCACAACTGATTCATAGTGATCCCATAAAGTTCCACCCCATGGGGTTTTCAAGGCAACAGTCTACCTACCTACCAATGTCTAAAACCAATACCTTTACCACCGTTCTAGTAGAATGCTTAATTGTGGTCATCTTTTTCACAGCATCCTTAATGCTTTGCAGGAACAGTTTTGTTACTGGATATGTGTACTTGGATTTGAAATGTCTCTAACTTCTATTTTTTTTAATCTCTACAGTCGTAGAAACTACTGAAGGGAGCACCACTATTGTAAGTATATTTGTCATATTTTGTGATTTGTAGTTTCTTCTGCTTACGCTTTACTCCTTCCCTGATAGTAATAGGACTCAGAAGCAACCAGTGAAGTTGATGGCCAGTAAATTCAAGACAGACATTCATTGTGGCATGTAGTAATGGTCTCATTAACATAGATTACTTTAAAAGGGGATTAGGTGTATTCATGGAGGGTAGGTCCATTAGTAGTTCTGTGAATACTAGGACACAGCATGAGGGAAGGCCTTGGTCTTTATGTTCTGTCTGTGGACCTACAGGGCACCTGGTTAGCCATTGTGTAAAACGGTACTAACCTAGATGAAGTACTGGTCTAATTCAGTAAAGCACCTCTTATGTTCCTGTGTAAAGTGGAATCTGTACAAAAATGAAAGTGAATAGCCTCAAATGGATACCAATGTAAGTTTAGGATACTCACGTTAGGGTACAGAGATTTGTCTGACGTGGACTTCCAAGTGATCTTTCTCTTGATCTCCATTTGCACCCCATCTTAAATTTCCCTGTACTTTTTATCTCAGAGTGTGCAATGTAAGGAGCCCTGTCTAAGGATAACTTTGTAGTATGGCATCTGCTGCAGCTGTTAATGACATGGGTTGAGAAGGACCATGCTGCTGCAGGGCTCACACTCTGAGCAAATGTGAGATGGCAGAGCTGTTCAAAGCTTTATCTTCTTTTAAAAATTGGTGTGGCTGTGTTTATGGCCAAAAGTATGGAATCTACAGATTACGTTTATTTAATCTTATTCATTTGTTAGTTGGTTGGTAGTGTCTGTTTCTTGGATTCAAGAATAACAATAATTTTATTAACTGGGCTAAGTTTTCACAAGTTACTTATAAAAATGGCAGAGACAGCTCACAACATAAATCTCAACATTAATTTAAAGCCATTACAAAACAGATTTTTACAGGTGAAAGGAACTAAAATGGTTGTCAGTAGAAGAATAAAAGCAATTACAAAAAAGCAATAAAACTTTTAAGACCAGCAGAGATTTAAAAATAAGTGACAGTGACAGTCAAAATCAACAGTAGAATCTAAGAATGACAGGTTTGGGAGATAAAAACACCAAATACTCCGTAGAATAAAATCCTGCTGCTACTCCCTTTTCTTTTGCCTCACACTTCCATCCATTCCTCCACTGTATCCTCCTCTCCCATTGTCACCATCTCACCTCTTTCACTGGTGCCACGTTGTTTTCTGTCTTACATCTGCACTTTGAGGAATTGTTTATTAGGTTTCTTAGGCAAGCCCTGAAATGGCAGCTGAGATCTCACAAGACAACATTGCAGTGTCACATTTTTACCTTAATTTTTAGTATCTATGTAAGCACATACCGCCCCCCCTTAGTGGAGAGCCAGTTTGGTGTACTGGTTAAGTGCATGGACTCTAATCTGGGAGAACCGCTTTGATTCCCCACTCCTCCACTTGCAGCTGCTGGATGACCTTTGGCAAGCCGTAGTTCTGTCAGAACTGTTCTTTCAAGGATAGTTCTGGAAAGAGCTCTCTCAGCCCCACCTACCTCACAGGGAGTCTGTTGTGGGGAGGGGAAGGGAAAGGAGTTTGTAAGCCGCTCTGAGACGCTGAGGGCGGGGTATAAATCCAATCTCTTTTTCTTTCTGCAAGCTTGGGGTTTTCCCCTGGATTATAGAAAATCCCCCTGGTCTATACATGGCCTCATGGTACAGATTTTTTTTGGTATGCATTCTGAGCCATGCTCAGATTTAGATATATTAGTGTTATTAACACATGTACTGGTATCCTTGTACAAATATGGATATCATAGCTCCCATTAAGTGATGGTAGATTATTATGTATTTTATTATATCTACAGAAGTGAAAATTCCTCTCTGCATTTTGATGGATAGGTATTTGTAGTCACAGGAAAAAGTGCTTTCATGTTAAGAACATAACACAGAGGAGTTCTGCAAGTAAGATTGTACTTTATTATTTATATTTTCTAGAACAGCTTGTTTTGTTTCCCTAGCATTTTAACTCTCTGGTAGGAAAATAAATAAAGCCAAAATGTGATGATAAAAGTGTGTGTGCTTCATGTAGCACTAACTGGAATTCTTCTATCAAAACACTTTGGGGGGCATTGACGTTAACTTTAATTTCGAGAATAACTGACGTTAAATTATAACTAAACATTTGAACTCCAGGTGACATTAATATATCTTTTTATATTGCTCAAGTACTGGTAACCACTTATTTTGTGTACTTTTGACCCAACTATATTCATTTTATAATAGTAACTGTATTACACTAAATGGAAACAGGATGAAATGTCCAAAGCAGAAAGTTCTTCCTTTACCTCTCCTTATGAGTAAATCATTTCAAGGTAGTCACAGCTTTACATAAGACTGAATTTGTTTAGATGCTATGCAAAAGCTACTTTAAGAAACATATCCATAGTTACACAAAATGACAAAAACAAGGAGAAACCCTCTCTAGAAAAGTTGCAGAAAGAATAATTATCTAAAGAGGTAAAGCTCAAAACATGTCAATCTATTTTCTAAAAATAAAATGTCCTCTTTGGGCTGGATCACAGGGTTCCGTGGAGGGATGCTCCACTAACATGTTTTTAAGAAGGCTTGAAAAATTGAGGAAGTGTGGGTGAAAATAATGGAAAATGGCAGACAAAGCACGATTTATGCAACTGTCTACCATTTCTGGATTACTGTGCAAATACTTCCAAGGAGGCTTTTGCTGCAAGGATAATGAGTCCGCACAAATTTTTTGTCCATTGACTAATTAGGTGTTCTGCTGACATTGGTCTACAGGAACATAGTAAGGATGAAATGATACATGCCATTTACAACTTTACATTAAAAAAAAAAATATTGTATGAATTCCATACAAGAAAAGCAGCGTACTAGCCCATCCAAATACAGGTAAACCAATAAGGGCTGCGGTCACACGGAACATTAGCCATGCTAGAGAGATGGAAGACAGGTAGATTTTCCGGGCGTGATCTCACCGGCACATCTGGGAAGCGTAGCGCTCCCGTGGCTCAACCGAGGCTTCCCGCCGAAGATGCGCAGCAAAAAACTAGTACCTTGGAGGTACTAGTTTCCGGAAACCGCGGGGCAAGGGTGGGCGTCTGATCACGTTTCCGGTGGCATCCAGTGCCCGCCCATGTCCCCTTGCAAAAAAGGTTGGTTTTTTTCCCCCCAAGTCTCCGTGGATGCGCACAAGCACCCAACGGAGCATGCACATTTTTGGTGTACACAAAAAAAACACCCCAGTTTGCCGCACCGCGCCACTTCTTTCTTGCGCGCAGGATTTTCCTGTGATCGGCGCCTCTCCCTACCCACGGGACCTCCACGGGAGGTCTGATCACTTAACCACGCGTTAGTTTGCCCCAGGGCAAACAGCCACGCTCCCCGCCCCCCCCCCCCCCGCATTTTCCTGCCCGTGTGACCGTAGCCCAAAACAGTCAGCCTTCAACAAAGAAAAGAAAATAGGTAGCCAAGCAAAAACTAGAAAAAGATCATATCTTTGTAAATTAGGTTGTTCGGAATGATATCCTGATTTACAACTTTACATGTTAAGAACACCACATAAGAACACCACCATAAGTTAACATAACTGCTTTATTTCATCATAGAATTGTTTTATAGCCTCCATGATTGACACCGGTAGGGTCTAATTTCAAGGTCCTTTCCAGCCATGCTACTTGAGATACCATAATTATTTTAAATTTGTATCCTGGTTTGCTCCCTACTGGGGACCCAAAGCAGATTCCAGTACAACAAAGCAGCACTGCTAGATATACCCAGGACTTAAGTACCTTTGAGCAGAGGAAAAACAAACTTGGCCAGATCGAACTTGACTGCTGGTAGCCAGCTAGCTGGGTCTTCACCAGTTCCTCCCATGCCGTTAGAAATACCATATAAGGCATGCACTGTGGCATCTCTTCCAAACAGTGCTCCCTCTAAGCTGTGGTGTCTTGTGAACAAAAATTCTATTTTGTGAGCTACTGGCATTAAAATTGTGAGCAAGCGATTTGGGTACTGCATAAATTAATTTGCCCTGGAGCCATCCTTCCTGAGCTAAGACAAAAATGTGTGAGCTGGAGGCTAAAAAACTGTGAGTTAGCGCGCACTAACGCAGCTTAGAGGGATCACTACTTCCAAATGTTCTGTTAGGAAAACTATTAAGCAATGCAGGCTCAAAATGGACATTATTTGGCTGTCCACTAGTACCAATCCTGTGATCAACTGCAAATGTTATTTCACTAGATACTTATACTCTGTCTTTCTCAACAATGGGGACTCAAGCTGAAAGACATAGTTCCCTCTCTACTTAATTTTCACAGCATCCTTGTTAGGTGGATTACGCTGAAAGAATGGCTGGCCCAAGCCAGCTAGTGAGCTTCTACGACAGACCCGGTTTTCCCAGAACCTAGTCTAGCTTTCTAACCACACCACTATGCTGACCCTAACAGTATTTGCATAATCTAATCTGAATACATGTGCTGTCCATCTTTCCATTGTACACAATCCTGTTTATACAAAGTCTCGCCTCCCTTTTCTCCATATGTTTCACATTAAGAATATCTGCTGGGGCAGCAGTCAGAGTCTAAACAGAGAGCTCCAAGCACAACTCCTGGATGAGACATGTTGGAATGCCAAATCCCCTTGACTTTCCTCCGCAGCCCCAGCTGGGATCCCTTCTAGGACTAGTATTGGGACTGCCACCTCTGACCAGTCCTTTGGGATGCCCCTCATCCCTGAAGACTGATACAAATGGCCTGTGGGGACCACCAGTTGGCTGGGCTACATCCGCCGTCTGGCCAGTGTGAGCCCCAAACAGGGAGCTGCTAGCCCCATAGTCACCTCACCAAACACTAACCCAGCATACAACTGGGCTTTGCCAACAGAGCAGTGGCATCTCCAAGATTCAGCAAACTTCAGACAGATGGAAAGTGGCTTTGGATGTCCACCATTTTGTGCCAGAGGAACTGGTAGTGGAGATAACTGACTTCCTCCTGGTATCAATCCTGCCACAGTCCACTCAACACTTTCCCCAGAAAGTGTAAACCCCATTGCCCAAACCAGCAATCCAGTTTGCAGAGATCAAGATTCCTGTCACCATTGAGGCCGACACCCAAATCCCTCCATCAGAAGCCAAGAAGCCTGAGGATGCAACCAAGAAATAACTGGCCTCTGGAAATTTGCAGCTTATCTCTAGGGGGGGAAAGGCATTTCAGATCTTCATTGATTCCTTTTTATAAAGCTGGTTCTGTATTCGATCCACATCATCACAAAATTAATTTGTAAAATTTTTCTATGGTTAATTAAAAGAAAATGTATTTTGTGCCCTGCAAAAAAAAGAAGAAGAAGAATATCTGCTGGGGCAGGACTGACTAGGACTTTCTTTAAGAGCATGCCCATAGCAAACATTAGGTAATATTGCCAGTAAAAAGGGTGCAGTATTGTGTGACATTTCCTGCAGTCTTATTCTTTCCCCGGTCGTAATGTCCAGTGTAGACAAGCACTGAATGTACTGTTCAGTCCTGTATGGAATTACTCCAATACAAGTCCATTGATTTCAGTGGACTTAGACCAGAATAACTCTTCATAGGATGGCACCTGTCCTGTCTAGCGTGAGCTTGCAGCTGAGGCAAACGCTTTCCAGATGTGAGTCAACGCACAGCCACTGAAGAGAGCTTAAATCGTCTTTATTTAACTTCACATGCATTCAGTAGATCATTTACTCACAATCGAACTGATAGCTGGATAGAGCGTTACATCTTTCTGATCTAGGTCAATCCTATGGCCGTGGTGAGTAAAGAAATGGGCTTCCTCTCTCCTTGCGGTAAGGGTTGATGGACAAAGAAACAGAAAAGAACAATAAAACCTCCTGTCTTTGCGCCTCTGAGCTCAGGAAATTACTCTTAATGAGCCAGTCAGAGAGAAGCTTCTGGGACCCCTAACTGTGGACTCCAATTCCCAGGTGCAACTACTCTTAAAGGTACATTAACGCTGGCTGGGGGCAGCACAGCACCTATTAGTTCATAGCAGGACTCCTTCCATGAAAGGACTTAGAGAGAGAAACCGTAGCTGATAGTTAAATGATTCTATAGCTTATAATACTAACCAGCAAGTGGAACGTGCTAAAGCTTGTGGATGTCAGATCTACTGGCCTAATTAGTTTTTTTAGGCTTGTTCTAACCCAAAGAGTTTGACATCAATCAGATATCACTGATTGTACCAAATAAGAGAAAGTTCTTGTTTAAACCCCCGCCTTAAAGTAAGAAAACATGCAAAGCTGATAAATGTATTTTGTCAGTATACTCAGTTGTTGAAATACCTTCTTGTGGGAAGTGCTATCAACCCTATCACTTCAGGCTGTTTAAAGCTTCACTGAATTAAATTTAAGGAATGTATACTACAAGGAGCCATCCTAATCTGTTACAGAAAAACTGTTTCAGTTATGATAAATGAGAGATGCTCTTCTCTCCCAGATCTGTTAATAAAAAGAGCCAACTCCATTCTTCTGCAGTGCGTGAACCCAGGTCTGCTGATATTTCCAAGGGGGTAGTCCTGAAATAATGCCATGTTACGTTACTCATGACTAATAATCTTGAACTTGGTGATGTTTGCAAGAACCATTTCTTGGAGATGCAAACGTTATTTTTTTGTTCTTGTCCTCAAATGCCCACTTAATTGCTATTAGTAAGGTGTTAACTCTCAGATTGTTCATATTTTAATTTATACAATGCTATACTTACTACAGATGGGGCATTCATCCAAAATGTATCTGGAAGTCTGGAATCCTGATTCTTCCCTCATCAGTTTCTTCTGTTTGGTTCCTAGATTGAAGGCAAAGTTCTAGAAGATGTGGAAGCCCCGGTTCCTCCAAATCCTTCTGGTCAGTGTCCAATTTGTCGCTGGAACCTGAAGCACAAGTACACATATGAGGTAAGTTCAAGCTGAGGTCTTTGAAAAAAAGATACTTTCGTCCTCAAGAGCTAGCTGACTTGCATTTTCAAAACTTAAGTTACACCAAACATACAACTACTAGGTGTTGTTACTTGCTGTTCTCTTACTGTCCTGGTATTCTCCTCTTTCATGGGGTATAGTTCTAAATATTCTGGCCGTCAGGCAATTTCTTGCTTGCCAGAAATGCCAGGAAAGAGGTGTGGGTTGTGAAGTGGAACTGTCTGTGTAGCCTGTTTCAAAATCTTACAGTTGACTCAGTTTGCTTCCCTGCCATTGCTTTTCCAGTTTGTGGTTTGGGGCTTGCACATCCTTGGCCCTGCATAAATACCCCCTTTTCATGGTCGGGAGTCTGCACTTTCATGTACAAACATTTCATGCACTGGTTCTCTATGTGATCTCTAGCATATTCAAACCCATACCACCAGTGACAGTTGTGCACATCTACCCAGGCCCTTGACGTCCGGAATCTGATTTGCTTCTGTAATGGCTAGCACAGAAGGGAAGACTATATAGCTCTCAGAGGGTCCACATAGATCATACATGGGTAAGAGGGAATTGACGCAAATCAGATCAAAGTCCCATCTGTTTCTGCATGCTTGCAGAATTCTAAACCATGTTAACCTTAACGTAAGGAATTAATCAATGCAGTCTTAAGCAGTTACACCCTTTTAAGCCCATTGACTTCATCTTAGGAGGATATACTTGCTTAGAACTTCACTGCTAGTGTCTAGTATGAGATCAGTTTCCTTGTTGACAGTACAACAGTACAAATAACTTTTGTTTATTTTTGTTTATGAATCTTAGCCTGTCTAGAAAAACAATTTGTCTTCATGTTCTGAAAATGTGAGATCGTAAGGAATTCATACTTGTTGCAAAAATTACTTCAAAAGGCCTCTTCAGTAGGTACATATTCCCCTGTAAATTTGGATAGCTTCAGATCAATTCAATGTGACAGTTGCTTTTAGTGTGAACTGGCTTTCAAGGAAGCATAGAGAGGAAAGGTGAATAAGAATGTAAAATTTGGACACATGAAGCTGCCTTATACTAAACCAGTCCATTGGGATCCATCAAGGTCAGCATGGTGTACTCAGACTGGCACCCACTCTCCAGGGTCTTAGGTGGTATGAAAGGTCTTTGCCTAACAGTAATTCTTTTAACTGGAGATGCCAGGGATTGAACCCAGGACCTTCTGCAGGCCAAGCAGTTGCTCTACTGCTGAGCAGCAGCCCCTCTAAAGTAATGCCACAGGGATGATAACAGCTAAACAGCTGCATGTGCTTTGAGTAAAGGCCTGAAGTTAATAGTTCTTCTGAAGGGGTTAATGTGAGAAATAAGCATTGGATTCTAGGTTGCCATTTTCACAAGAGTTATTCAAAGCCTGAAACAGAAGGGACAAAAAAAAAAGAAATTCTGTATTGAAGATGGAAAGGAAGAGAGCCAGACAGGGACGCGTTATTAAAGATAAGGCAACTAAAACCGTGGAATAAGTCAGTGCCAATGGGATTAATGGGCTGGAGCTAGAAATGCATCTGGAGGGAAAGAAATGGCTTGCGAGACAGCAGACACTCTAATGATGAGGGGGAGAATAAGAAAAATAAGGAGTCAGAAAAAAGCTATAAATAATTTAGTAGTGACATTCTGGTGAATGAGCTCTCAAGAAAGCAAGTAAGGAAATGCTTGAGACATAGAGTTAATCAGTGGGCCTATATCACGTGTATCCCAAGAGGGTTAGCTAAGCTACTGCTCCACTAACTTGTTTTTAAGAATGCTTGGAGAATTGAGGAGTGTGTGAGAATAATGGAAAATGGCAGACAAAGCACCAGATATTTAGAAAGTGACTATGATATTTGCCACATGTTAAGCATTACTTGATTATAAAATAATGTTGCAAGAATGTTGAGCAGTTATGCTGTGATCGAAATGTGTAAGGCTAGTTGGGAAAACGTCTTATGAATTTCTCTAGAATGGTAGAGCCTTGTTGGTCAGACCACTGGTCTGGCAAGTCTGGCATCCTGTTTGCCTCAGTGGTAGACCATATGCTCTAGAACAGGTTCCCTAGCATAGCCCCTGCCAACATCTTTCCTGACACTCACCAGGTGTGTTTAGAAAGTGGGCAGGACCAGATGGGGCTTTTCCCAGTGGGGCTTCTGGTTAGCCCTTGGAGACCGGTTTGGCTGTGCAAATGTTTTACAGTGTTGCTTTGGCAGCAGCTTTGCTGCATAACTGAAGATAAGCTGTTTGCATGCAAGGTAATATTTTGAAATAATATGTTGAACAGTGCTCTTGCTTGAAATATTGAAGATTTACTATTAGAATTATGCACTCCAGGATATTTTACAGTTTTATTTTATGGTTGGCTCTGCCTCCTGTAGTAGCCATTTTGTGGCTGTGCCAAACACTTTTTGTCAGAATTCAAAAGGTTCAAAAAAGTTTGGGAACCTCTGCTTGTGGAGGTCCATGAGCAAGAGCTGAAATATAAAACTTTCCTCTGTTGTTGACTCACAGCAACTGATAGTTTTATCTCCGAACATGGAATTTCCTGGTTAATAGCCATTGATGGACCTAAATGCCATTAATTAGTCTAATCCCCTTTTAAAGCCACCTACACTGGTGGCTATCACTACATTCTATGACAGTGAGTTCCACAAGGGAATTATGCATTGTGTCCTGAATCTACGGCCCATGAACTACATTGTGTGGTCCAGAGTTCCAGTATCTTGAAGGAAGGAAAAACTCTCCACTTTCTCTGCACCATGCATAATTTTATAAAATATCATATTCCCCCTGTCATTTTTTTTTCTAAACTGAGGTGCCTGAAACGAAATACTGTAACCTTTTGATAATTTTTGTTGCCCATTTCTGTACCTTTTTCTCTGCTACAAAGATCTATGCAAGCATGTTGCAATATTATTTTCAGTCATTTTTTCCTGATACTTCCTAGTTTAAAATTTGCTTCTTTTACCTGCAAACTGTGTTGCATACTCATTGACTTTCACCTTCGAAGATTTTTGTAAGGATTAGATATGCAAAGTACTTTGACTGTTATACCTGTCTATACAATTGGCTATATATTACTTCTAAGTTTGTTATACACATTTACCTGTTCTCTATTACAAGTAGGAAAAACAAGTTATTTCTTTGGGCGGTTGAGATGCAGGTTGGGGTGTAGAATTCCTGGACATCAAGCATACTCTGAATTGGCAGCTTGACGTACCAGATGAGTGCATGGAGAAGCATCAGCTCCTACGCAGCCCAAAGAATAGTTAGATCATTGCATGATAAAGAGTGAGCTGGTTGTGTAAACAGAACCTCATTCTAACTCTGCAATAACTTTTCAGTCAAATTATTAGGGCTTGTCAGTTCTCCAGGTGGACTCAGGTGCTGGTTCTTCCCATGATTTCAGCTACCCTCTGATTTGAGGGGATATTCTGTTTACATTTAATGCTGTTTACCCTGCAGAAGAAATCAAATAACTGTAGAGGTAAAAGTATAAAAAGATTCTTCCCTTGCTTTGAATATGATTGGTTTGACCAAGCAGTAAATGTCATCTCACTTTGGCAGTATGGAGTGGAGAAAGAACTGCAGTCTTTGTTTATTAGTCCTGGATTAATTCAATTCATGTTTTCATCAGATTGTACAGATTACAGGGTTGAGAATCTGGGTTCAGCCTCTCCCAGGAGCTGTCCAGTGATTAAAGCAAAGCTCTGGTTGCAGTTTTGGCTGTCCACTAGCACACAATGTTAATTTCATGGAACATGACAGCAGTGTGCAACTCTGCCAGAATACTCCTCTCCTTTAACCCTTTTACCTTCTTGTTTGTTTCTCCCAGTGCCTTGAAACCTGGCTCTATCTAACTGCACTGTCCCTGTGGTTCTGATGCATCTGTATGATTATGATGGGAGAATCCCTTGCCTGTTGAACTTTGGACCTTTCTGGGGTTGCTGTAACCTTTTGTTAACAAACAATACTCTTCAGCCACATGGCTTGGAGTACAATTTGCAGGGCTGGGATGTAAATGATTTCAGTTATGAAATGGCATTTATAAGCAAGAAAGCAATGGTTGCTTCTGGTGTTTAGTCAAACAGAAACTGAATTGAGCCTTCTTTGGTCACAATAAGGAAGTGAATTTTCTGTTCTCTTTCTTTTCCTGAGCCAGAAAAATGGCTTTTTCTTTTATGGCACAGAGCTGATATGACAAGGAAAGTTTTTCCAGAGTGTTCCTACATTACAGTTAGATTTCTGCTGGATACTTCTTGGCCTGAGCACTTTGAAATTTGCCATTGCCTTGTATCTCTTCCCAAACCTTTAAAGTTATGAAGCATCATTAGCCAGATTGGTATATGTATGTTAGGGCTACAATGTGCAAAGGTGTCCCCCTGCTTGTACAGACCAAAGTGTGTATTTTGGGCACCTATATACTTGAGATCTTAGCTTCTGTAATACCAAGGTCCAAACTTGGATCAATACTCAGAAAAACAAGGGGGAAAGACTCGTAAACAAATGAGGTTTTTATTTTAAATTCAGAAAAAGAGATCACACTAATTTACACAATATAGAAAAGGCAGCAATGAAAATTACCAAATGAAAAAACCTATGCGGTAAATACCACACGTGAACCTTTCACTAAAAACCTGTTGTCTACCTCAGCGGAAAATAAACCTATAAAAGCAAATGAGACATACGGTCCTGTCCTAAAGAGAAGCTAGCTCCTTTGGGAGATGAAATGGACCAGGTGGGGAGGGAAGCACAGTGGCAGATTCCTGGAGTGGAGTGTTGAGATTAGAGAGATGAGGGGCCAACTTGAAAGCCTGGGGTAACAGGATAGGTCCAAAACTGGGGCCGAGGGTTATCTTTGATGCCTAGGATGAGGATGGGAAGGGGTGTTGACAATGGAATGTGGGGATAATAAAAATGCAATCTTTGAAGGATGGGCCATCCTTAAGGGAAAAAAATCCTTTGTTTACGTATATAGTTTGTGTGGTCATCCAACCTCTCCAAGCAAAGAATTCTCCAGATTACTAAATATTGTGATGCAAGAGTCTTGCTAAACGACTTTAAACCAGACATTGGAAAACTGGTATCACTTCATCAAGTCCATCCATCACTTTAAGAATTCACTGAACCGTGAAGTAGTTACTCTCTGAGGGGCTGTTCCCTGGCGCACTCAAGGAGGCAGTGGTATGGCGTCTCTTCAAAAAACATATCTGGACCCAGCTAAATTGGCTAGCTATTGGCCGGTGTCCAATTTGCCCTATTTGGGCAAGTTAATTGAGAGGAAGGTAGCAATTCAGTTGCGGGGTTTTTTGGATGACACCTCCACATTAGATCCCTTACAGTCTGGCTTCCAACCAGGCCATGGGACGGGGACGGCACTGGTCGCCCTCACAGACAACCTTCATAGGCATCTGGATCTGGGCGGCTTGGCGGTGTTGGTGTTGTTGGACCTGTTGGCGGCATTCGACACGGTCGACCACCAACTACTGACCCACCGCCTCACCAACACTGGGATCCAAGGGTCTGCCTTGCAGTGGCTTACCTCATTCCTTCAGAGTCGGGGACAGAGGGTGGCCATTGGAGAGCAGCTGTCCCAAAGACACCCGCTAGTTTGCGGAGTGCCCCAGGGAATGGTGCTTTCTCCAATGTTATTTAACATCTATATGCACCCCCTTGCCCAGATTGCCCAGAGGCATGGGCTAGGGTGTCACCAATATGCAGATGACACCCAGCTCCATCTGTTGTCGGGCGGCCAGTCTGACTCTAACCTGAAAGATCTGGATCTGGCGTTGAAAGCTGTGGCTGGTTGGCTTAGACTGAGTCAACTGAAATTGAATCCAACAAAGGTTAAGGTCCTGTGCCTGAGTCAGAGTGTCCCGAGGGTAGGGAACCCACTCCCAACCTTCAATGGGGCGCTGCTGGTGCCAGCGTCGGAGGTTTGTGAGATTGCTGTACTTGAGTTCATTCACAAATTCAGAACAATGGAACCCCCACGGGCTGAATAGGAACCTAGGACCTAAGACTATATGGTCAGGGACCTACATACCTAAGGGACCGCCTTTCCCCATATGTTCCCCAGAGAGCACTACGATCGGGGTCCCAAAACCACTTGGCCTTACCGGGCACTAGAGAAGCCAGGCTGGCTGTGACAAGGACCAGGGCTTTTTAAGTGGCGGCTCCGCACTGGTGGAATGAGCTCCTGGATGACATCAGGGCCCTGCAGGACCTCTTAAAGTTCTGCAGGACCTGTAAGATGGAGCTCTTCCACCAGGTCTTTGATTAGGGAGCCGCACCCAAGAAATTGTAGCCCTGGCCCAACACTAACAACATTTTCAACAACCAGCTAACCCAGACTATGCTATTGGCTGGCTGTTGTCTGAGGGTGCTGCTAAGCCCACCATCTGACATAATCTAGCACTTTATATTTTATAATATTTATAATTGTATTGCTCTGTTTTATCAAATTGTTTTATTTAATTGTTTTATATTATATGTGAGCCGCCCTGAGCCTGTCTTGGCAGGGAGGGCGGGATATAAATTGAATAAATGAATGTAGGTATGTAAGATTCTTGCTAAATGACTATCAGGCTTTGAAAAGCTGGTATCACTGGGTCAAGTTCATCAATTTTATTGAATAAATCGAATTAAAAAATTCTAATTGGATTTTTAATAAATGTGCATGTGTTACTGTTTTGAATTTTATTGGCTTCCTTAGTGGGTCAATCAAACTTCTATTCTGAATAATGCTTTTTGTAGGGTAGGGTGGGGGCACTGGGGATGAGTGCATGGAACCAAGGGGTATAGGCCAGAACTTATTGGGAACCATGGAGTTAAAAATTCTGGAATTCCTCTCAGATGAAGTGTAGAGTTCTTTCTTCTCTTGTCTCTTCCCAGAATACACAAAGCATTTTATTCCTGGAAGGCATTTAGCTGCTAAGATATCCTGCAATGTAACTGTTTTGTTATGTTTATTTTATAATTGTCCCTTTACAGAGTTTCTTGCACTGTCACAATGAAGCTAGCAACTCATATTTCATAGTGATTATTCTTTAATGTGTCATTCTTATAATTCCTCGGCGTGTTGGAAGAAATGGTGCTGTGGCCCAGAAGGTGGAGCAGAGGATTTGATAACATCATATTGTGTTGTAGGAATTGTTTGTGCAGAACTATGCAAGACAGCTTATCTTCTGCTACTTGTCAGATATCAGTTGTAAAGGCAGGGGAATTTCAGACAGGCGATAGATTCCGGAAGGGAACCGGTTCTCAAATGGGTTCTGGTCTGTCATTTCAGAGAGAACCCGTTTGAGAACCGGTTCCCTTCTGGAATCTATTTGCCATTTCATACACAAACGCTTCAGTCCCATTTAGGAACCGGGACTGAAGCGTTTTACCTGTCATCCACTTCCAAGTGGTCTCCAGTGCCCTCTCCCGGTTCCGATATGCTTTTTTCCCGCCTTTTTTCGCCCGCGCGGGCGATCTCCGGCTGGGTTTTGTTTTTTTTTGAACGTTCGATTTATAGCGTTATAGTGCACTATAACGGTATAGCGGAATAGCATTATATCAATCCCATTGGAATGCATGGAGTGTTTTGTTATACTGCTATAGCACTATAAATCGAACGTTTTTTTAAAAAAAATCGATCACCCGCGCGGGAGGAAAACGGCGGGAAAACAAAGTGGTGCAAGTCTGATCCAGCTCATTTCCAGTAGGGGCAAGCCCTGTGTGAAATGGCAGCCCTGTACCGGTTCACTTCAAAACGGATGTTTGCCGGCTTGAAACCAGGTGAAACTGGGTAATGTGAAATTCCCCGTAGTTAAAAGGTACTAAATCATTAGCCTATGTTCTGGTGCTTATTTGTTTGCCCTTCTCTTTGCTTCCAAAGGATGTCTTACTTTTAAGTCAATTCATACGGAGTGATGGATGTATGCTGCCCCGGAGGATCACAGGCCTTTGCTACAAAGAGCACAAGAAAATCACTGTATGTGTGCAAATGGCTCATCGGGCAGGTAACTCATGGTTTTTGAATCCTGTGCCATTTAGTAGGATTTCTTTGGATAGCCATCCATGATTTGCAGCAGCAACCATTGATTTGCAGCAGCAACTATTGTAATAGCAGAGCTATCTAAAAACAAAGTTGCCTTGTAGCTTTCTGTTAAAAAAAAGTTACAAAAAGAGGGAGCAGAAGGTCTTGGCTACCAAGTGTGCTCAGAATTGTGAAGGTTGTATTTACAAAAGGTTCAGCATTGGCAGTGAATCTCTGTCCCTTGGGGGAAAACGTACTTAGGATGGTTAACCAGTGGCATGTCACATTGTAGATTGCCCGAGATTTATAATATGGGAACTGCTGGCATTGTGGGATTGGTATTTGGTAATGCTTCTTTCTATCACCTGTGGTGGGAATATCCTCATGAAAGCAATTACTGGGAAATGATAGTATTGATAGCATTGAATTTAGAATCCCTGCTCTCCAGAAGTGGTGGTGTTACAGTAGACTGTTACAGTACCAGGGTCACCGAGAGACACTCCATGGCAGAGAGGAGATTTGAATCTGTCTGTCTCAGTCCTACACTCTTAACTGCTGTGCCATGCTAGCTTTCCCTTATTAGGACATCCAGCTTGGACAGCAGTCTCATGTACACTTAAGAATTTATCCCATTGATGTTTCAAGCTCTATTCTTTTTTTCCTTTTCTTTTCAGGTTTACTGCCAAATCATAAGCCTCCACTTCCAGAAGGAGTTCTTCCTAGAAAAAAACTCAACAGGTCAGTTGTTTCTGTCTCGGAAGTAGAATCATTCTGTTTCAGAATTGAAATGTGTGATGTGAAGACAACAGATTTGTCCAAGAACCAAATCTTGCAGTCTGGCATCTTTCAAACTGGGAGTGAAACCTTTCTGGGCCTGACAAGGGTATAAGCAGGGTTTATGTCCAGTTGGTAGTTTACCAATATGTGTTTAAGACTCAGGAGTGTCCAGGCAATTATACTGATGGGGTTGTTGAAAACTGCTGGCATTGTGGGATTGGTATTTGGTAATGCTTCTTTCTATCACCTGTGGTGGGAATATCCTCATGAAAGCAATTACTGGGAAATGATAGTATTGATAGCATTGAATTTAAAATCCCTGCTCTCCAGAAGTGGTGGTGTTACCCTGTTTGGTAAAGGGTCCGTGTCACCTTTTATAACTGTTCACATTGTGATTGCAAAACAGTGGGGAAAACCTGCTTCCCCAAACAAAGTGTAATGGAGTGGTAAGCAAAAATATTTGTTTTGTATGATAAGGGTAACTGTCTGCTTAAAAATGAAAACTGTAAAGAATGTTGAAATTTGGTTTCGGATGATTCAGAAGACAGTTAAAACGAGAACAGTAGACTGTTACAGTACCAGGGTCACCGAGAGACACTCCATGGCAGAGAGGAGATTTGAATCTGTCTGTCTCAGTCCTACACTCTTAACTGCTGTGCCATGCTAGCTTTCCCTTATTAGGACATCCAGCTTGGACAGCAGTCTCATGTACACTTAAGAATTTATCCCATTGATGTTTCAAGCTCTATTCTTTTTTTCCTTTTCAGGTTTACTGCCAAATCATAAGCCTCCACTTCCAGAAGGAGTTCTTCCTAGAAAAAAACTCAACAGGTCAGTTGTTTCTGTCTCGGAAGTAGAATCATTCTGTTTCAGAATTGAAATGTGTGATGTGAAGACAACAGATTTGTCCAAGAACCAAATCTTGCAGTCTGGCATCTTTCAAACTGGGAGTGAAACCTTTCTGGGCCTGACAAGGGTATAAGCAGGGTTTATGTCCAGTTGGTAGTTTACCAATATGTGTTTAAGACTCAGGAGTGTCCAGGCAATTATACTGATGGGGTTGTTGAAAAGAAGACTGGAGCTGGGAGTTGGTTACTGCTGCAGCCCTAAATTGCCCAGTCGCAAATGAATTGGCACAAGGAGGGGTAGTGTCTGGGAGGCAGAGATGAGAAGGAGGGAGCCTCAGAGCTGGGTTGGCATAGATTTAACAAATTCTGCAGTAAAGTGTATATCTCTATTGTCTGTACTTTATTAAAAACATTTATTCCATTCAGTCCAGGTTATGTTCTCCATAGTAAGTTTGGCTGTCTTTTTTGTTAACACTCCTGGCCACTACCAAGAGGCCAAGTGTGGTTTAAGGGAAATTGTGAGCCATGAGATAGACAGCCTGCCTGGGTATTGGCAGTGGGTGGTGAAAGGGACAGGAAGTTGGCGCTCATTAGATTTCTTGCCCTCTTTGTCCTTTTCCTCTTTATGTACAGTTTGTAGTTCATTTTTGGTTTGCCCTTCCTGTACAGCACTCTTCCACCCTCACTGCTGAGCAGCCCCTTGCCCCTTAATGGGAAATTTAAACCCCCTGTTGCCTTTTTTGCTTTCCTCCGTGTTAAGAGGTGTTAATCCCCTATTTATGACCTTCGTCTTCTGTTTCCATGGGGATGTCAGAGCAGTTTATGAAGTTCATATTAGCAAGCTGTGGGGTTACTGAAGGCCACAGGCATATTGCTTGGGAAATCGGAGTCTTCTTGCAGTGTAGGTCTGGTCTTCCACAGTGATTTTCCTAAGAGACAGTTGCAGTTCAGTCATTCTGTCTAAAACTGGAGTTCTGTGCAGAAATTGGGTCAATGTATTTTTCCCCCAGAAGTCTATTTGAGACAACTTTGGGGACTCTGAAAGGGAATTCCTGTTCAACTTTGCTATCTAAAGATCAAATCCTATCTGGGAGTTCCACGCAGTGTTTTATTATCTCTAGAGTGACACATCGCAGCTGTGAAATGATGCCTGTTAGATGAAGATGAAGTGATGAACTCCAGTCCATTCTGTGGAACAGGACAGGGCTTTGAACCAGGAAATGTTATTTTGACAAAATCTTTTTATGGCGCCTCAGAACTCTAGGAGTAGTGTTGCTGTCTTCACTTCATCCCATGCCCTTGTTCTTGTTTGCTTTTTCTACCGGCCAGGAAGCTGGGGGGAGGTAAAAGATGGAACAGTATCGGAGAGGGTGTTGCTGGGAAAAGGGAGGGCGGCAGGGATTGATTGCTAGGAGAGGAGTGTGGAGGGAGACTTGGATAGTGTGGAAAGGTTTGAGAAAGGTACGTCGGTAGCATCTCCTGACCTGGATAGCCTGATCTCGGAAGAGAAGCAGGGTATTGGTCCTGCTTAGTACTTGGATGGGAGATCACCAAGGAAGTCCGGGGCTGCCACACAGAAGTAGGCAATGGCAAGCCACCTCTGTTCGTCTCTTGCCTTCAAAACCATATGGGGGTCGCCATACGTCAGCTGTGACTTGACAGCACTTTACAGCATGGAGCTAGTGGGAAGCAGGGGCTTAGAACTGAGGTACATTTAGGGCATTTTTTAGGAATGCTGTTGCAGATCATCAGGCTATTGTCTCTAATGGCTGGAGGTAGAAAGCTCTGTGTTGTTGGAGTCTTGCCATCTCTGAACCACTGTAAGCAGCATTGAGGGGTTTGGCTAAGTGCCTACCCCCATCTGTGCCTCCCACATCGATCTCTGAACCAGCCAGTGATGCAGAGGACAGAAGACTTTTTTAACCACTTCCTTCCTGCAGCCCTGGGGGGGAGGGGGTTAGGTCATGACACTCTGTCCAAACTGCCATGTCCCATTCACCTCACAACAGCATCAAAAGAGGCAATTGTGCTTAAACCACAGGCTGTGAGCTTGAGTGTTTCAGTTCCCAGCTCTGTCACAGTCTTGTTCAACGACATCCTCCTTTGGTGCTTCACACTCCTGTCTGTAGTATTATGAATCCTAAATACTTAGGAAAGGTTGCACAGATCTACTAATCAGGGGGCCCCTGAACAACCGGAGTGAAGTATAATTAAATGCTAATGGCTGAGTCCTTGATATGAAATGAGTCATTTGGATTGTACTGTTAATCAAAAGATTTGACTGATTTTTCCAAAGCCTTTAATAGGGATTTCTTTCAGACTTTCTTTTTTCCTTCTAGTCATGGAATCTATTGTTCCTGGCTGCCATCGTGTAGCAATTGGAGATGGTTCAGATTAGGGCAAACAAATAATGAGAGGGGAAAATACAAGGTTCTTGCTGTTCCCAAGAGATGCCACACTTTCTCTTTGGGTTTTTTTTTGGGGGGGATACATGCTTGTGAGCTCCACTCATGATTTTACTGCTAGGTGGAGTGTTCTTGTGATTGTTAACATAGCTAACAGATCACTCAGCATTGGTGTGTATATCTCCTTCCAGCATTGAACCAGGATCTGGGAGGCCCAGGTTCAAATCCCCACTCTGCCATGGAAGCTTGCTCGGTGACCTTGGGCCAGTCACACACTGTTAGCCTAACTTCACAGAGAAACGAAGAACTCTGTGAGTTGTTTTGAGTTCCTGTTGAAAAGGAAAGGGTCAGGGTATAAACGAAATAAATAAATAAAATTTACAATCTCTATTTTTTTCCCTAAGGAACTAAACGGAAAGGCAGACTCAAGGCTTTCTGCTGCTTCTTCTGCAGATGGCTTTGCCTCAAAACACTCAGTTTACTCCGCCCACAGTGGTAAAAACAGGTCTGTGAAAGTAGGCAGCACAGGCTTTACTTGAATTAGTGAGTACAAATCCTGCATTTGCAGGATCATCACCTTTTGGTGATGCAGTGAGGCCTCCGACTGATTGCTTTTGAAGTCCCATCTTCTGGCAATTAGAGGTGGTAAGATTAGGGCAGGCAAATTAAGATCTTTAACAATTAGATGCAAAACCTAAGGTTAGAATCATAGAGGTGGAAGGGAAGGGGCAGGATTCTTGCTCATAAGAGGTCCTGTATTTGTTTCTCTATAGCATGCTTGTGCCATCGTGCACATGTGCATGCACACACGCAAACAAAAGCTGCTCTCTTTGGAAAGAGCCGTTCAAGAATCAGTGCCTTTTTCCTGTGGTATTAACATACAAGAGCATATTCTCCAAGATGAAGATGATATCGGCATCTTTAATATAAATTTTGAATGTTTAAAATGCTTCATTTATTATCCTTACAACAGACCTGGAAGACAGAAGAGTATTATCATGCCCATATTTCAGGTGGGAGGGGTGGCCTAAGGCTAGGTAGTGAGATCATGGCAAAGGTGAGATTTGAACAGGGGACTTTCAGATTTGTCACTCAGACTGTTTATCTACTGCACCAACTACTTAAAACTGAAGTTTTGAAGGAGTAAGTGGAAGATAGTCTGAGTCTAATCTGTGTGTTCTCAATTTCTTTTACGTTATTACTGCTATCAGCCATACCGTGTATCATGAAACACCACCGGTAAACTGTCAGAACTGAGAATTCTTATCTAGCAAAACCTGAATACCCCAAGTATTTCCTTTATACCTAAAAAACCCTCAGAATGTTGATTCTTGTCTCCTCAGATGATGGGACGAAGGGGGGTTGCACTAAAATCCTCACTTATTGGATAGGTGTTAGCTGTACAGTGTGCGCGTGTGATAGGAGGGGAAAATTCTACTCTTAACATGTTGCTTTAATTTGAGGGCCACTCTCTGACCATACCCCTTGAAATTCCTCTCACTGTTCCCCTAAGATAAATAACCCATTGAGCTGTCTTTTGCTGACATGTTTCCCTGACTTCAAGATTCAGACCTCTGTACTCCTTAATTGATGTGACTGTTGGGTTTCTGTCTCTGCCTCATACACACACATGCAACTTCAGAATTATTTGTTATCAGTGTTTTGTTGTCACTTATAAACCAGTTACTGACTCAAGATCATCAGCTGT